AACCTAAGTCTGACCAGTACTCTAGCATGAAGCACGGCCCAGGAATCCTCACCTTGTCAAGCACAAAAATAAAATGGAAAAGTACAGAAGCTGGCAACAAGTACCAGAACTAAGAGGCTTAAGCTACGAGGACAGATTAGGTGAACTAAATTTCATAACTCTGGAGCAGAGAACGAGTGATATGATCACAATATACAAGATAATGTGGAATAGACAAGGATAACCACTTTCAACTGAGAGAATGTTAAAGCAAGACGACACAGGTGGAAGCTGGAAACGCCAACGTCTTGAAGAAAATGTAAGGAAATACTGGTAATCTATACGGATGGTCAAGAAGTAGACTACCCAGAAAAAAGTGGTAAAAGCCATCTCTATCCACGATATTAAGACCAGATGCGCCAAAAAGAGCTATACCTTACATCGCTCAACCCCCGCAAGCACATCTAGGTGAGGTGAGCCCCAGCACTCAAATAATAATGCCTTGACTCGCACACGTCATGTAGAAAACGCTTGGAGACCTTAATTTTGTATAGAGAGAGAGAATTATCTTGAGTAGTGTGTCTTTAGTGCGAGTGCATCCCCCCCAAGCACTCTTGACACACTCACGCACTAAAGTACTCCAAGAGTACTCCACTGACACTTTCGACACGCGCGCGTCAATACACAGGGAAGTTAATGTTGCATCTTGAGTGTGTGTGTAGAGCATCGTTTACCACCTGGTGTCCGCGGCAGTTTGAGAGAACGTCAACAACACCACTATTAAGAAAAATGAACTTTTTAAACCCAATTTTTTTATTATTAAATCGACGATCAACATTACAAAAATTAACACTACGATTAGAATTTTAACTATTAAACTTTTTGCTATTAACTCTCTGGGTACAGAGACTTCACACCAAATGTTCCTCAACAAATTGACGTGAAGCCAGGACACTAACGTAGTTACGAAAAGCACGTTCACTACTGTTCGTGTATGTGACGAAGCCAGTTGGTGCGCATGCGTAAGTGACATTCACGGAAGGCATTTATTGACAACGAAAACGATGCTAAGGCCACACACACCCCCGGACGAACAAGCCAGAGTTCCCAGACAATTTTCTTAGAGCCGCGCCAGTATACAAGGGGGAGGACGAGGTCAGCAAGGTGAGGAAGGGAGTCGAAAAAGAGAAAGAAGAGAGAGGGAGAGGAGGGGGGGGGGAGAGAGGGAGAGGAGGAAGAGAGCGAGAGAGAGAGAGGGAGGAGGAGGAGGGAGAAGCAGGCGGCGTCAGAGCAGGTCATGTAACCCAGGAGGGAGTCATGTGTGTACCTTCAGCTCCAGCAACCGGCTAGTGTCCCCCACCTACTGACGTCAGCCCCTTCCCTGGAAGGGGAAGGGGCTGGTGGAGAAGGCTGGAACAAGATGAAACATGGAAATGGGAAGGAGATGGAGAACGAGGAATTGGCGAGAAAGGGAAATAGGGCATGGCCGGGGAGATGGGAACGAGGGGAAAGGAAAGGATGGAGTAAAATGGGAAGGGAAACAAGAGAAGAAAGGATTATTGAAGGTGCTCTAAAGTTAAGAAGCGCGCCCCCGTCCCTCCAAACTCACCCCTTACCCCATTACCCCCACACCCCATTACACACAACACCCCCCACCACACCCGGCAACATCCCGCCCTTAACCCCCCCCCCCCCCCACTCCCCCACACCATCCCTGCAATTACAGTCCGCAGTGCCACACCCCCACCACCACTCCCACCCTCAGCACCCCCACACAACCCCCCCCCCCCCACATTCTAGTTTACCTTATGGTATGACCCATTCCTCCATTATCCTCTTTCCCCCTTCTTTCATTACACCCGTTTCGTTTTCAATTATCTATTTCACTTCTCCCATTACCCCATTAAACCCCCCCCCATCCTTTCCCTTTTCCCACCACCACATTTACCTCACCCATTACAACCTGTCCCCTTCCCACCTACCTAATTCCCTCCCACACATTCCCCCCCTCCCCATCCCATACCTCTTCTCTCCCACTCTCTTCCCCCTTCCCTATCCCCCATCCCGTCCCTCACCTGTCATCCCACAGTCCCTTCCCGCCCCACCCTTCTCGCATAGTCCTACCTCAAATACCCACTCCACACCGTTTTCTTCGATACCTTCAAAATGTAAACATATACATTAAGGTGTTTACAGTGTTCAAAAGGAACTATTTAGTGGTTCGGGACATATGAATACACCAAACGATGGGCTATACCTGAACCATGTATAGGTAGGAGGGATGGTTAGGTGGATGAGGGAGGGGGATGGTGGGGGTGGAGTGGATGGATGGATGGATGGATGGATGGGAGTGGATGGAGCAGTACTAGAGGAGATAAGAGTGGCAGCGGTCAAATTGTACCACTGACGTCACATGCTAAAGCTGAACTCGTAATATCTGACCCAGGCTTGTCATGGGGAGGGGGGGGGGGTACATCCTGCCATGGGGAGGGGGGTACACCCTGCCATGGGGAGGAGGGGTACACCCTGCCATGGGGAGGGGGGTACACCCTGCCATGGGGAGGAGGGGTACACCCTGCCATGGGGAGGAGGGGTACACCCTGCCATGGGGAGGAGGGATACACCCTGCCATGGGGAGGAGGGGTACACCCTGCCATGGGGAGGGGGTACACCCTGCCATGGGGAGGGGGGTACACCCTGCCATGGGGAGGGAGGGGGGTACATCCTGCTATGGGGAGGGGGGTACATCCTGCCATGGAGAGGAGGGGTACACCCTGCCATGGGGAGGGGGGTACACCCTGCCATGGGGAGGAGGGGTACACCCTGCCATGGGGAGGGAGGGGGGTACATCCTGCTATGGGGAGGGGGTACACCCTGCCATGGGGAGGGAGGGGGGTACATCCTGCTATGGGGAGGGGGGTACATCCTGCCATGGGGAGGGGGTACACCCTGCCATGGGGAGGGGGTACACCCTGCCATGGGGAGGGGGGTACATCCTGCCATGGGGAGGGGGGTACACCCTGCCATGGGGAGGGGGATACACCCTGCCATGGGGAGGGAGGGGGGTACATCCTGCCATGGGGAGGGAGGGGGGTACATCCTGCCATGGGGAGGGAGGGGGGTACACCCTGCCATGGAGAGGAGGGGTACACCCTGCCATGGGGAGGGGGGTACACCCTGCCATGGGGAGGGGGGTACACCCTGCCATGGGGAGGGGGTACATCCTGCCATGGGGAGGGGGGTACATCCTGCCATGGGGAGGGGGGTACATCCTGCCATGGGGAGGGGGTACATCCTGCCATGGGGAGGGGGGTACACCCTGCCATGGGGAGGGGGTACATCCTGCCATGGGGAGGGGGGTACATCCTGCCATGGGGAGGGGGGTACACCCTGCCATGGGGAGGGGGGTACATCCTGCCATGGGGAGGGGGTACATCCTGCCATGGGGAGGGGGGTACATCCTGCCATGGGGAGGGGGGTACATCCTGCCATGGGGAGGGGGTACACCCTGCCATGGGGAGGGGGTACACCCTGCCATGGGGAGGGGGTACACCCTGCCATGGGGAGGGGGGTACACCCTGCCATGGGGAGGGGGGTACACCCTGCCATGGAGAGGGGGGTACACCCTGCCAATGGGAGAGGGGTACACCCTGCCATGGGGAGGGGGGTACACCCTGCCATGGGGACGGGGGGTACACCCTGCCATGGGGAGGGGGGTACACCCTGCCATGGGGAGGGGGGTACACCCTGCCATGGGGAGGAGGGGTACACCCTGCCATGGGGAGGAGGGGTACACCCTGCCAATGGGAGAGGGGTACACCCAGCCATGGGGAGGAGGGGTACACCCTGCCATGGGGAGGAGGGGTACACCCTGCCAATGGGAGAGGGGTACACCCAGCCATGGGGATGGGGGTTCTTCCATTGGAGGAAGAGAAGGGATAGTGAAGGTACCCCATAGGGAAGGGATAGGATACTTCAATGGGCGGCAGGATGCTGCGTATCATATCTGCTCAACACCACCACGTCACAGCCTTACAAGAGCGTCAGCACCAGTGTAACAAGAGCTCGTAACAGGAGCTCGTAACAGGAGCTCGTAACAGGAGCTCGTAACAGGAGCTCGTAACAGGAGCTCGTAACAGGAGCTCGTAACAGGAGCTCGTAACAGGAGCTCGTAACAGGAGCTTGCAACACAGGTGTAATCTCGAGCATCAACAAGTTGGTGTGGGTTGGGCAGACCACAGCGATAAGAACACACAGTGATGAAGTAGCCCGCTCTGCTAATACAACGTCACATTTTGACGTATACGCTACCTTAAGGCCAGAAATAATGATATGTCCCTACAAAATGGAACTACAAAAATGGAAGCGGCTCGCGAAAATTGACACACACACACACTGTCCCGTTTTCTGTTTTGGGTCCTCTGGTAAGTTAGGATAAAAGGGGGGCACTTTAGCACGACAGTTTCTTGACGTTGGGGAAACTTTAGGAGGACGGGCCAGATGAAGCCCACTGGAGGGGCCATCAACTCATTAAAAGGTGTTCAGAGGACAGTAATGACACGAATAGGAACCAACGTACAAAATAAGAGGGGCTTTAAAGGAAAGAGCAGACTCACATGTTGCTGTTATAGATTCAGCTACTGGGAACAAAAAGTTCCAAGCAGCACGGGCTATGGTGAGCCCGTTGTGGACTTACCTGGCACAGGAGCGGGGCTGTAACTTGCCGAGCAGCCCACAAACACCCACGGTTTGTATCTATCGGTTGGTTTAGGTGAGGTGGGGTGGCCCAGGTGAGAGTTTTAATACCATGTTTTTTGTACGTTGGGGCAAATGAAAAGAACGGGGTTCGCTAGTGTCCGGAATTTACCAACATAATAAATCCAGTAATTAGATAAAGTAAATGTTAAAAATCAAGTAGGAAATATAGCATAAAAATATAGAGTATTACAGCGGTGGAGGAGGATGACCTGGAGGAGGACCAGGACCTCCTTGACGACACGACCTGAGAAAGCCAGACCCACCTGAGGACATGAAGTACGGGATCCTGAAGCGGCCGGAGAGAACCCGGTCTCGGAGGGCAGGCAGGGTGGCACCGTCGAAGGGCAGCGCCCCACACACCAGCACGTAGAGCACCACCCCCAGGCTCTGTGGAGTAGAGGTAGAGTAGAGGTAGAGTGAGGGTGGGGGGGCAGTGGTAGTGTGAAGCAGAGAGAAAGGATAGGAGGGCAGTGGAAAAGCGAGAGAATAATGGAGAGTATGGGAGAGGGAAGGAGAGTATGGGAGAGGGAAGGAGAGCATGGGAGAGGGAAGGAGAGCATGGGAGAGGGAAGGAGAGCATTGGAGAGGGAAGGAGAGTATGGGAGAGGGAAGGAGAGTATGGGAGAGGGAAGGAGAGTATGGGAGAGGGAAGGAGAGTATGGGAGAGGGAAGGAGAGTATGGGAGAGGGAAGGAGAGTATGGGAGAGGGAAGGAGAGTATGGGAGAGGGAAGGAGAGTATGGGAGAGGGAAGGAGAGTATGGGAGAGGGAAGGAGAGTATGGGAGAGGGAAGGAGAGTATGGGAGAGGGAAGGAGAGTATGGGAGAGGGAAGGAGAGTATGGGAGAGGGAAGGAGAGTATGGGAGAGGGAAGGAGAGTATGGGAGAGGGAAGGAGAGTATGGGAGAGGGAAGGAGAGTATGGGAGAGGGAAGGAGAGTATGGGAGAGGGAAGGAGAGCATGGGAGTAGGAAGGAGAGAATGGGAGAACCATGGTGAACATGGGACTGTGTTGACTGACAGTAAACACAAGTCGTACAGTAATAATAAAGACATCCATACGAACAATATGGATATCCACATGAACATGAATATGATCCACGTGAACAATATGGACATCCACATGAACATGAATATGATCCACGTGAACAATATGGACATCCACATGAACATGAATATGATCCACGTGAACAATATGGACATCCACATGAACATGAATATGATCCACGTGAACAATATGGACATCCACATGAACATGAATATGATCCACGTGAACAATATGGACATCCACATGAACATGAATATGATCCACGTGAACAATATGGACATCCACATGAACATGAATATGATCCACGTGAACAATATGGACATCCACATGAACATGAATATGATCCACGTGAACAATATGGATATCCACATGAACATGAATATGATCCACGTGAACAATATGGATATCCACATGAACATGAATATGATCCACGTGAACAATATGGACATCCACATAAACAAAATTAAAAGTCATACAAAAAGTTGGAGGAGGGAGGGAGGGAGGGTAGATGGAAGAGAGGGATGGTAGATGGAAGAGAGGGAGGGTAGATGGAAGGGGGAGAGGGTACGAGGGAGGACAGGACAGATGGACGGAAATAGTGAAGTGAAACGGAAGGAAGAGAAGAAAGTGGAGAGAGAGAGGGGGGGGCACGAACTAAAAAATAGAAGAGGAGAAGGCGGTGACTGCGGACAGGAGGAGGAGGACGACAAAATATGCTGAAATTCCCGCGAAGAACCTCTCACACCCACCCACTCACAGCTCCCCGACAAGAGAGAGCAAACTTAGCTTAGCTGCCAACACCCACACATGGTATCAGCAAGGCGGACAGCCCGCCTGCTGTCACAACTCACACTATACTTCCCCCATTTCCAAACATTCCCATCACCTGTTTCTCCCTCCATTCTCTTTAGTCACACACACACACACACAAAAGGGGGGACTGGCCCAAACAGAAGACACACACACATACTGACCCAAATATCAATCTCAGGACCGATGTACTTCTTGCCCTCGAAGACCTCGGGGGCGGCGTAGGGCGGGGAGCCACACCAGGTGTTGAGAGTGTCGGCCGGAGTGTAGTAGTTGCTGAAGCCCCAGTCCGCGATCTTCATGTTCATGTTCACGTCCATCAACAGGTTCTCCGCCTGCAACACCACACGTGAGAGAGGGGGGGGGGAGGGTTAGTACTCCTGCAACACCATGGAGGAAGGGTACTACTACTACTGCAACACTGCGTGGGAGGGCGTAGTGTTGCTGCGTGCAGGGAGAGCACCGTGTTCTTCCGTCGCAGGTATGGCAACGCTACATGGGATTAGTACAGACACACGGGCGGATACAGGTACCAGTAGGCCCACAGGGACAAGGTACAGCACCGGGACGGATTCCGGTACAGAAATATGACAGTAGGGATGCACCGTACCACTGCTGTCCATCACAGTACACTCACGATTCGGCTCATCAATATTGAGGTTACAGACAGCTGTCAACAGAAGCTGGTTTATAAATGGTAGTCATGAAGCCCAGGTGCAAGCAATGCGTCAACGACAGCTGCAGGAGACGAGGATGCTGACGCAGGTATGAGGCGTGACGTCACAACATGTTTGTGTCACCACGAATAAATGTTTCGTAAAAATAGCAATCACACAGTATTCTTAGATCTAAATAGCTTTTAAAAAGTATAAATACATCTTTTTTTTATCCCACAATGAAAGACACGAGCAGCAGTTACTGAGATGTCATACATAAAGTTATTCTTGGAATTCCTCGAACGATTTATAATTAATTATTGCGAGACTGATTCTGTACCCAGCGAGAAATAAAGTTGACAAGTCTCCCTTACCAGGAGGCGATGGTTCGTTTTCTTTATTAATCCTCCCTTTAACACGTTTTCTCTAAAATAGTTAATTACGATTCTGTAAATATATATTATAACGAAGAAGTGAAGCAGTAATAATAATAATAATAATAATAATAATAATAATAATAATAATAATAATAATAATAAATACCAAAAAATAAATAACCTTATTTACCTGGGGTAGAGGAAAAATAATTATAAGAACAGACGTCAACAAAATATTTTGAATTACTCCCTTAGCAATTATAATGCTAAGGTTAATACCGTGTTAACATGCCACGAATAGAGATGACTAGTTGCTATCAATATTCTTAATTAAGCGCATCTGTATTTACGCAACTATCGTAGATTATATGAACAATTTACAAAGGGAGAAACGGTCAGGAGGCGCGCAAGTCTACGGACCCAACCAGCCACATTTCATTTCCCCGCCACCACCTGGATCCCTACACTCGCCCTGAAAGCTACATACACTACCATCAATATCTTCATCTCTCAGTTCTGTCTCCATCTATTTTCCATCAGTTACTCTTGTAGCCTTCCTTTTGCCCCCCTCTCACTCTCCTCTCTGGCTTTCCCCCTTCACACGAAACATATGAGATCCGTTGGTAAATCAGGATGACTTCCCGGTTGCAATTCTTTTAACCATGTCGTAGCTCAGTCGATTAAGGCAGCGTCTGGGATCCTCTCGAACGTAGGTTCGAACCCTTGTCACGGCCCTTGTGGATTTGTTCATTTGATGCATCACGCTATTGTGATTTCTGTGTGTAACATATCAGACTTCCATCAGTGTTATAGCTGATCGATTCCAAACACACACACACATTCCACTCTCATCCACCTAGCCACTTCTATCCATCCATATCATCCCCATCCCCACACAACCGCATCTTGCACTACTCTCCACCCATCTCTATCCTTCTCCCCCTCCCCCACATCAACCGTAACTACCGAAAAGATATCACAAACAAGGCTACGCCTCGTTAAGTCTAACGATACTGTACGGTACTTATTAGGTAAAGTTAGGCTTGAATGGGCCTGGTTACGTAATGCATAACTACTGCATGGGTGCCAGTTTAACAAGTTCTCAATAATATAAAGAAATTAAAGTCCTTTTGATGCCAACGTTAATAAAAAAAAAACATGAAAGCCTAATTTATAAAACAGGATTTTAATCTGAAAGGAAAGAATTCACCGTGTAATATTAATACTGTTCTAATTATGAGATCGTAATAGTTACTGACAATAAAACATTACATTCATTATTAAAATGTTTCCAATAATGTGCCACATTGTACCGTCATATTAAACTCACGCTGAGTAAAAATAAGTGTGACTTGTGTAGATCTGGCAACATGGCAGCGGCGCACTCATACTGACACAGATTCACGGTCTTAATGTATTTATGAGAACACTTTCAACATATGTATTCAAATATATTACATGTGTATCAAGAAAAAAAGTTAAAATGATGTTATACAAAGACTTACGTTAAATTATGTAAAATAATAATTGCTAAAATGAATTGAGGTTATAGACATTTTATGTGGTGACCCCCCCCCCACACGTGGTGACCCCCACACACACGTGGTGACCCCCCCCCCCCCCCACACACACGTGGTGACCCCCCCCCACACACACGTGGTGACCCCCCCCCACACACACGTGGTGACCCCCCCCCCCCACACGTGATGACCCCCCCCCACACGTGGTGACCCCCCCCCACACACACACACGTGGTGACCCCCCCCACACGTGGTGACCCCCCCACACGTGGTGACCCCCCCCCCCCACACACACACACGTGGTGACCCCCCCACACACATGGTGCCCCCCCCACACGTGGTGACCCCCCCCCACACACACACACACGTGGTGACCCCCCTCACGTGGTGACCCCCCCCACACGTGGTGACCCCCCCACACGTGGTGACCCCCACACACACGTGGTGACCCCCCCCCCACACGTGGTGACCCCCCCCAACACGTGGTGACCCCCCCCCCCCACACACGTGGTGACCCCCCCCCCACACACACGTGGTGACCCCCCCCCCCACACACACACGTGGTGACCCCCCCCACACACACACACACGTGGTGACCCCCCCCCCCCACACACACACACGTGGTGACCGAACACCATCAACAGAACACATCAACTTACACAATTATGTCACCAGTAGAACAATTGTCAACAGCCACGAGTTTTATCTAACAATTAGTGGATTCACTTAACCGGATTTTTTTTTTAATATTACCGCAACATTTTTAACATGGCCATTGTTGGGGATTGTTGCACAATATTGAGTATTATTAACAGCGAGAAGCAGCACGCTCCAAGCAAGGTTTACCTGCAATTCTATTTACAAGGGAAAAAATACATTATACAGTCTAATTATAGCTTCACACAGCACGTGACATTAATCTCAACTTCTAGTTAAACTGTGACGGTTCAGCAACGTGTGAATATTATACAATATATGCATATATCTATGTCTATAAATTAGAATGTGTGTGTACTCACCTAATTGTGCTTGCAAGGGTTGAGCTCTGGCTCTTTGGTCCCGTCAATCAACAGGTATGTTGATTGACGGGGTGTGTGTGTGTGTGTGTATGTGTATGTGTATGTGTGTGTGTGTGTGTGTGTGTGTGTGTGTGTGTGTGTGTGTGTGTGTGTGTGTGTGTGTGTGTGTGTGTGTGTCCCCGTCTGAAGCTGAAGGCCAGATAATTAGGGCTAGCTTCACCCAATTTTTAACACTAATTGGTGTTGGGTACGTGAACAACATGGTCGGGTCGTGGGTGCTATAAATAAGTACCTAGTAACATAGTTTCAATGCTCCCCAATGAAGTAAATTTGCTCACTGACTAAATTTGTTATATCATAATGATTTAACTCTGAATTTTATTATTTTTTTCTATAGTAAAATTTAAAAAAATCTCACTATCACACTTTGCCTGTAATTCAATGAAATAGTGGAGTACTAGTTAGTATGTGGGAAGGTTGGGTTAGGGTGTTTAGGTTCTGTTGGCGATTATTTGTAGAACGTTGGTGAAGCATTTGCAGCGTTGTGGTTCGAACAGAGGTCGTCATCAAAGTACTGTTCGAACGTTCGAACAGAGGTCGTCATCAAAGTACTGTTCGAACGTCATCAGTTGACAGGTGTGTGTTAACCCTTTTTAATTCATAAACAAGGGGTTTGGCAGCTGAGTTAACGAGCATTTGGCCGTTATCCAGCATGTCTCCATAAACAAAGGCCAAAGTCCATTCCATGCACCCGCCAAACCCCCTGTTTATGAATGAAAAACAGTTTACACTCGACTCACAACTGATGACGTCCGAACACTTCCGGAACAAGTGCTTCACTGACGAATTTTGTTCGAACCACAACGCTATAAATGCTTCACCCACGTACTACAAATACAAATAATCGCCAACAGAACCTAAACACCTAACCTAACCAGTACCTAAATATGCAAACACTATGCTAATATATAATAATATTAATTTATATAAGAACATTCCTGTTTTGCATGTTAAGATTTATGAATGCGTCTGTGGGGTCGACCGCTGGGTGGAATGGACTTGGTCTGAGGACGGGATGCATTATATGATGATGCGCTGATATTTTCCATTTAGGTAGATCATAGGGGACTCGAACTTGGGCCTCACATGTACGAAACAGTCGAATTATCTACCAAACCTTCGGATGCTTACTTTAAGGAGGAATGTCAGAGATAACTAACTGGTGCTCAACCGAGACTTGACACCTTTCATGAAGCATTACTACAAATGACAAGGATGGAGAGGATATAAGCCACCTTAAGTAGTGCTCCAGGTAAGGTATGACGTATTAATTGGGGTACCAGTTAGGTACTGTTCCGTACTCTAATCATCCGTGGTCTGGTCGGTAGTACAACTGTCTTGTACATTTGAGGTCCGGGTTTGAGCCTCATGATACGAGACAAATGACCAAAACCTCTCCATATTCTATATGTTCTCTTTCACTTTGAAAGTTGAAAAATTAACTCTCCAAAGTTTTACAGTATTATTGGCCTGACGCTAAATGATGAGTTTTACTGAAACTCTTAAATATCTTGGGAGGCAGGTGGCGAGTGAATACAAATACGTTGTTGTTGAAGATTAAGCCACCACAAGAGGTGGCACGGGCATGAATAGCCAGTAAAAATATGCTGTTTTTGTTTTAAATTCAGCTTCTCCGAAGAAAAGGTTCCAAGTAGCACGGGCTATGGTGAGCCCGTTGTGGATGTCTTGTATTAGTCTTGTGG